CCAGCAGAATCGCGGCCGTAAAGGTCACGTTGACGAAGCACAGACCACGCACACCGGGATCAGGAACGTACACGGAGCTGATGCTGCCACCGTGCACGCAGCGGACCTCCGTGTCCTTCGCATCGGGGAGCGGGAGCGGCCCAAGGCCGTCCGGAACCGCAGCTGGCAGACACGTGCCACCGTAGCCGCCAGCAGCGCACACACACTCACAGCCGCTGATGCTCCTCGTCCTCGCTGCAAAGCACACGGCGTCCACCGTGCACGCACCACAGTCCAACACCGTCACGGGTGTCCCAATATTAAGCTCTTCTTGGTAATCCGTCACAGGAGAGCCTATTGCCTCGTTGCACATGCCGTAGATGGTCGGGCGCGTGTCGGATGGTGGTAACCACTTGCTCGTCATACAGGTAAAGGTCGAGTACGAGCCGTACGTGAACTTGTTGTCAAGTATCGACCACACACTCTGATCGCGGAACACCATGCTGTAGTGGGCAGTCACGTACACAACGTAGGCGGTGCGGAACCCGTTGTTGCGGTGCACCAGCCAGCTGCCGCCAGTCACAGTCAGCGTGGCTGCCATCAGCATGGCAAAGCCAAGACGGAACGTGCTGGACACAATCTGCAGCACGCTACCGCCATCCACAACAACATCCTTGAACACACACGCGCCTTTGCCGTATTCGGTGCTCGGCGCACTCCACAAGCTGTTCTGTATGGAGAACACGGAGCCGCCGCCAACACGCAGGTACGACGCAAGAGCGTACATCACGTGCGTCCGCGACCTAATAACGCAGTTGTCCATGTAGAAGACGCTGGACAGGCTCGCACCGAGACCACGCTCCACGAGGATCGCAGCGCACAATTCCCCGCCACACACCAGCGTCGATCGCGTCATGACAAACCGCGTCGACAGAAGCCGGACACCGTCCAGGACAAGCGCGGGGCCGTACCGAAATCCCTCGTGGCCACGAGTCGTCGGCACGTACTGCGACCCGCCAACCGTCGCGCGCAGCGTTGAGTTCGCCAGCAGGAAACGCGAGTGCAGCGGCATCGCGCCATGCAGCACGATCGTGCCCTCCAGCGACGTCACGTTCGTCATGTTGACGAAAGCGTGGGGCATCAGGCGCGCCGTGCTCTCGCTGAGGCCGCCAATCCGCAGCTGCGCGCCGCCCGCAAGCACGCAGTGGCGCAGCGTCACGTTCAGCGCGTCAGCGAACGCGTCCATCAAGCGCAGCTCCACCGTCACAATGATCGGCCCGCTGAACACCACCGAGTCGAAGCACGCCGTCGCACGCCCACCGCCAATCGTCACGGACTCCGTCAGCGTCACGCCACTCACGCAGCCCTCCGAACCACCGCCGCCGGCCCTCGCAGGCGGCACGTCAAACGGCAGGCACGCCTCGCCCACGCCGCCGGCACGGCAGCTGCACACGCAGTTGGTGAACGACGCCGTCAGCGCATCAAAGCACGCCAGCGCAGCCGCACAGCCGTCGCACGGCACCACGCTCACGGAGGGCAGGCCGGCCATGCGGTAGCCGCCGCTGCTCTGCAGCACCCGGCCGCCAGCACGGTTGCACTGCACCGACACGACGCCACTCGTGATCGTCAGCCCGGAGACAAGCGTCGCGCCGGCGGCAGCGCAGCGCGCAATCGACACGGTGCCGCCGCTCAGCGTCACCCCTGACAGCGATGCCACCGACGACGCCTCGCCCACCGCCCACACGTCGTGCATGTCCAGCCACCCGCCGGCACCCAACGTCCCACCATCGCAGCGCACCAGCGACGACTCAACAGACCCCTCGACGCCCACGAAGCGCAGCACAGACTCAAACACCGCAAGGCGCTCTCCAAGCACAACTCCGCCGCCGCTGCTGCTCACAACCGACACGTTCGTCACGGAGAACACCGAGTGGCTCCGCAAACTGAGACGCGACGAGGACGCCACACGCATCGCGGACGCGGTCGGACCGCCCGACGCCTCCAGCAACACGCCGTCAAGCACCACCGCGCTCGACAGCAGTTCCACACCGCCGCCAACGTACACCGCCGACCCGCCCACGTGCGACGACCTCAGCACAGTGTTGCTCACACGCAGCTGCGACTGCAACAGCGACGTCGCGTGCAGCACAAGCGGCGACGCCACCGCGTCCGTCAGCCCGCTCAGCTGCGAGTAGTGCATCGGTCCCGGCGTCACAATCGTCGAGTCACGGACCGTCACGTTCGTGTGTGCCGGCAGGTTGTGCACAAACACGAGCGAGCAGTAGCCGCTGGACAGCCCGCTCACGCTCACCTCCAGGCTCCGGTCACTCGTCGGCTCGCCGCTGTAGCCCCGCACGTAGATCTGCGCACCGCCGTCGCACACGCAGTTCCTCAATTCGATGCGCAGCGCACCGGGAAGCATCGCCGCAACGTCGAACACCACAGCCACGCCGTTCGTGATGTACACGCCGTCCATCAGCGCCGTGTCCACGGCGCGGCCAACCGTGATGGCTCTGTCCACCGTGCCGCCCCGCAGTCGCAACACCACCGCATGCACCGCGGACATCCATGCCGCCGCAACCAGCACCAACGCCACAAGCAGCGCCGCACGCACAGCCGCAATGGCCCTGCGCCGCACACGGTGCCGGCTGCGCGGACACGCACCCACCGAAGACCGCATCCACCGACCCAGACACGTATCAGCAGGGCTCTCGTGGTGTGTCGCACTCGCCCCGTCAATCATCCCTCCTGTCTATCAAATCCCTTCCTACAGATGGCAAATACAGATACACAATTCCGCCAGATCGTTATAATAATACTGCTAATCCTAATACTGCGAGTAATCCCTAACACCTTGAAACGATAGTTGTGCTGGTAAAGCAAAAGTATCTCTAACTGCACGGCCAGAAAAGGAACAAAAGGAAGCAACCACAGTAACCAAACACAGTGGCACGCAGAGGCATCCGGTCATACACAATCCCCACCACAGTACAGCCGCCGAAACAAAGCCGCGCAGACGCAATAAAGTCAGTGAGACCATCACCCACACAACCCCACACAGCCACCGCGCGTCGTGGCGTGGATACAGACTGGTGGCGGTGAACCAGTCCTTCGCTCACACCTAGCAGGACAGAGAGCAGCGGGATTGGCCAACAACTCTCTCCGTGCGGCATTTGTCCTTCCCGTGTTTGCAGATGAGAGTGGTGTCCCCGTTTCCCAGGAAATTCGCAGGCCGCCGTCAGTGAGGGAGGTGCTGATCATCGTTCTGTGCGAGGAGCGGGCAGCGGGCAGCGGGTGCAAGATGGCGCAGAAACACATTCAATGCGCCGCCGGGGCCAGGGGCCAAGCAAGGCAAACAGTGGCGGATGGTGAAGTCAAGCGCATACGGCGTGAGGGACCCATCCATATCACAGTCACCAGGGAGCACGCGAGCACAAAGTGTGCAGACAGCACTGGGGATCGCAGCACGTGCGACTCGGACAGTGTGACAGACGAGCGAATTTTCCTGCTGCCAAGACAGAGCACAAACGCGGTCCCAACATTACCGCAGCACGGCCGATCCCAGAGGGCAGGGACGTGGTGCCTCCATGCCTCGCGGCATCACAGGCCTGGGCTCGAGAGGGCACCAAGCTCTTTCGCACGGACCACAAGCAGCATGGAGAAGTTACGGCAGAGGGCATGATTGCGGTACTCCCGTTTGCGGACATCTTCAGCTGGAGGCAGCCTGCCTCCCGGTGAGGCTGTGTGCGCGTTCCATGCTGCCGCTGCAACACACTCGGCCTGCTCCACTCTGACCGTCCAGGTTCACCAGTGGCTGTCACGGCTGCCGCGCGGAATGGTGCATTTGCGCATCTCCAACCATGTGGTCACAGCTGCCAGAGGCGTTGCACACACCGAGGTGGAAGCATTCCAGTCGGCTTCACGCAGGACAACGACGGCATGTTTCCGTCGTGGCAGCATGCCTGCCGGTCGCGGGATGCCGTCCTCCGTTACTGCAGTATACAATGGCAGATGGTGGTCCGAGTCCATGCAGCGGCTGGACGTCAAGTGGGAGACACGCAGTACGCGTTGCGCAGTCACGTCGGGAAACGAGACGATGCGGCCGCTAATCCGCGTTGCCTGTGCCGGGTCGTCGGACAGCTCACACTCCATGCCGCTTGGGGTGGCGGCGAGGTCCTCTCCTGCCGTCGTTGACGTAAGCGACCGTCACGCAGCTCATGGTGTGAATTCAGGTCGCCCGCAATAGGCGCTGCAGGACCAGGGCGACAAATGGTGCTCGCAAACTGAGCAGCGTGAGCGATTGCCAGAAAAAGGCTGCAGAGGTTCACCACGTACATGCTGGGGCTGGCCGGTGGGCGCACGCGGAAGGCAGTGGTCTCCAGGCAGTTGGTGCCAGCAGCTAGGAGCGCTCGCACAGCAAGGCGTGGCGCACCAAGAAGGCACGCCACCAGCACGGCCACTGCAGGCCTGGTGGAAGTCACTGCAGCCAACGCGCCGCGTCGCCAGGGCGCTTTGGTGCCTGCACTCATGCAGAAAAGCGGTGTCAGTCTGGTGCTGCGCCAGTCGAGCAGCGAGGGCAATCCTGAAGAGCGAAGGGCTGGAAGTTCTGAGCTGCCAGATAACTACGAGGCCATCCTCATCGGGGCTGCGGCTCCTGCGGACACCACCGCAGCGGGTGATGCCGACGGAGTGACCGCAATGAAACGACGGTGCGGTTCTGTCAGTTGAGCCGCAGGCAAACCGCCTCGCCACTCCACAAACAACAGAGCGTGGGACCTTCTCGAGGGGTGACGCCGTCGTGGTCCCCATCACGCTCGCAGCAATGCCCTGCCGCAATCACTCCCACAGAAAGACAATAAAAAATGTGTGGATGTGTGTCGAGAGCACAGCAACTGTTATCGCCAGAGGAGGCCATCGTGGCACCGTCCGTCACGCGCCAGCACACACCGAGCAACGCCCGCACCCGGCAGAGCAAAACCAAAGAGGAGAAAAGAATGACCCCAAGAGCAGGCAGCACCTTCACACATGGCGGGCATCGTGCAGCCGCGTCAGCCGGCCTCCAGCAAAATAGAAAGAGCATTCCTGCAGTGCACTGTGTAAATACTTATGTGTGCTGGAGGAGCAGAAGAGAAGAGGAGCACAGGGAGGCACATCAGCACAGCAAGAGGCACAGCTGGATGGCAGCGATACATGCGGCACGGCCCCAAACTCAACAATCAAGCACGGTGGCAGCACACGCCCATCCAGAGAAAACAAAACAAAAACAAAAAAAAACGGCGGCAGGGTGTGGGGATGTGTGTGTGTCGCTGCGGGTGTCTGCCCGCCCTCGCCGCAAAAAACAAAACAAGAGGGAAAGAAATGTGTGCTCCGCCCCACCGGCCCTCGTCGCACGCCCACACGTCGCGGCCCCTCCTCATGCGTGCAGCAGGCGAGGCGCACAGGGCCGTCGTCATGAGCGTGTCGGTGGGTGTGCGAGTGGAGCAGTTGGGCGGGAAACACACGGCACCCCTCACAGGAAGAGTGCGGCAAGAAACAATTAAAAGAGGGAAGAGTAGAAAAGAAAAAACGCCCATAGTGATTGCCTCCAAAAGCAAAAAAGAAAGATGGGGGAGTCGGTAATTAAAAAAAAAGAAAACAGAAAAGAATTTTAAAGAATTTAAAAATTAATAAGAACTAAAACATTACAAAAAAAAAAAAAAGCACATAAAAAAAAAAAAAAAAAATTATTTTTAAAAAAAATTAGTTCTTGGAAGTAATTCTGTGCAGGGGAGGTCGCAAGTGTCCCACGCGGCAGCCAGTCACTCCTCACAGAGCCGCAAACCCCCACAGTCCCAACAGAAGCAGCAGCGGCAGCACCATTCCGCTCTCACGCATGGTGCCAGCATCGTTGTTATTTCCCTGCGACGCATTTCCGAGGCTGCTGCTGAGTGCCGTGGCATTGGCTTCCCCGTCGTGTGGATGGATCTGCTTCTCTTCCTGCCCGTTCTTTCCTCCCGCCGTCTCCCCATTCCCACCAGAGCGCGCGCTTGCCTCAAGATTCACTGCGGGTCCCTCTCGTCCCTCGCCCATAGTTGTAGGAGCGTTTGCATCTGCTGCGTTGACATTACCCGCAGGAGTTTTGTGTGGTTCATCTTCCTGCGTTTTACCTCCAGCTCCTGTACCCACTGTTGGGTTAAAATCAGACGAAGAAGCGCCATGAACACTTTGAGTTCCCTCGGAGGATGTTCCTGACGCCGACTGGTTTACAGAGCCCTCTTCTCCTGAGGAAGTCGTGGCAGTGAGCACTGTGGATGTGGATACAG